GACTGCATCGGCACGAGCTGCTCCACAGACAGAACCACGACAGAAAAGAAGCTTGCTGATGAAGACGGAGAGGGCAATGAAGCCTGCGAAGTAGAAAAGAACGTTGAGAAGCTCAAGCGTGAGATGTGCGTATGGGTGAGATGCTGATGAATGTTAGACAATTGTGTAGGTACTTTTGAAAGTGATAAAGGTACCTTTCGACATGAAGCGGGGTGCAACTTCAAGATAGACAATGGAAATCAAAGTAAAGACAGGTACGAAAACCAAAAAGTTGATTTGCGAAGGGCTTGCGGTCAACGTATCGGCATTGTACCAGTGGGAAACTATGTGGTATGTTAGCAGTTATTCCTTGGTATGCTAATCATCAGTATTTCTCATACCATATCCGGACAAGCCAAGTACGACGATAGCAAAAACTGCTTGAGCAATTCGAGTAGGAAGAAGTAATCCAATCGCCATTTTGAAATTAAAGTATTGTTATTTGGGAAATCTTGTTGTCGTGAAATGGATGGTCTTAATAGTCGTGGGAAAACGCAGCAGCAACTTGGGCGCGCGTAAATGAGTGAATTCGAAGAGGATGTATACAAATTGAAAAAGGAGACAGGTGGAGAAAAGTTGAAAGGAGATGAAATACAAAAGAGTCACAGACTGATATTATAATTACAAAAGAATTAAGTAGACAAAGTCTGAAGGCCGAATGGTTTCCATTGCAGCCAAAGTGGAAAAGACGCATAAACTCAGTATCATGTTTGAAACGGTATATCAATCCATCGCACAGATCATGCCGGTTCTCAATTCCTTACCAAACAAGGATCTACGGCATTACATTGAAGACACAGGGCTATATGACCAATGATAATCGTTAACGACGTCCTGGCTACAGTGGAGAAAGGCCTGCTTGCGTTCCCCGCGATGCGTAGGACAATTCAACCGCTGCGCAACCTGACTGAGCATATTTATAATTGGAATTCAGCATCCCAACCAATGAAAACATGTGTTGGTCGCAATCATCAAAAGATGTTCTCCCGCAAACGCGCGCATTGAACTGTATTACCTTAAAGCCCACTGACCCTGAAATATCCACCTCTAAGAAGATTCTACACTGCAGATTGATGGACTTTGGTAAAGCGGGCATCTCACGAGCTTGAATAATAATACCAGTAACCAATTGAAACATTAAGTACGCTTTGTCTAGAAGTTGAGAATTATCCGCTCGGACATCTCACAAGTTTCTATTTATCTCAAAGCATGAAACACCAACTACAACACAAATTTACTAACTCGACCGCAAAGCTTAAAAAGGGATATACTCATCTCAACCTACAAGTAAGTTCTAGTGCCACCTCGTCAGAGGTTCCAAGAGTGTCAGTGTTGTGTTGCCAAGAAAGAAGCACAAGATTGAGGTTCCCTTATTGATTCGTGTCTTCGAGCTTTGCGTTTGAAGGCGGCGGAACATGAGACGTTCTTAAGCTACAATATCTGGAATGCTTGGACACGAGCTTGATATCGTAGGTCATCCTTCGCAATGTTATTGGATTGCCGTGTCAGATATCTGTTGTGGAAGTGATGTTGAGAAAAGTGTATTTAGTGTATCATCTGGAGTTACGAAGGAACATCACGGCGCCATGGTGCATGGAAAGACAAAGCTGTGATTTGTAGGCCATGTCGTTTGAATGAGAAATCTGATCTGGAATGCAACACGAAGTGTAGCTGTAACCCCAAAATGGATGTGTTGTTGAAGCCAATAAATTGTGTGGAAACTGTGGTGATGAAAGAAGGGTCAAAGCCCAGGGCTGGTAGTTCTGGTAGTTCTGGTAAGACCGACTACCAGACAATTTTGATCAGATGAGTAAGCAACCCTCAAAATATCAAGATGATGTCGATAGGAACACAACGATGAAATGAAGCCATTCAGACCACCAGTTTTCAATCCACTGTTGTCTAATCTTTGATGAGCCCTTCCGTTCTCATCCCTCATACCTCACGAATGGAAGAAATGACGTGCTCAAGCCAATGAATGTATAATGTATTACCCCACTATGGTCGTCAATTCCATTGGAAAGAGCTGTTTGTCTTACCCAAAGGGAATGAGGGGAAACAAAGATCTTAATCTATCGATTTAAAAAGCCTCCCGAGGCTCATTTTCTTTTCTATCCTGTGACTTTTTAAATCTCTCACATCTCATTCAACTCCGGAATCGAAGAACAATCGATCAATCAATATGGCACCTGTTGAAAGCACTCACTTCGAGACTCTACAGCTTCATGCTGGGTTCGTGCTATGCTACTTCTTCCCCGCACTTTCAAGACAAGGCTGATTAGATTCTGTCGACGGTAGACATGAACCAGACATAGCAACGAATGCAAGAGCTGTGCCAATTTATGCTACTACAGTCAGTCTGCTCATATTCACGGGGTTTATGATCTTAAAAACTAAATATGATATCTATAGAGCTTCACATTCAATGACTCTGCTCATGGAGCTAGGTTGTTTGGCCTCAAAGAGGTTGGAAATATTTACAGTCGTATTGCGAACGTATGTATCACTCAAGCTTTACTCTATCCGAAGTCGAAGAAAAGTCGTTGAGATTTGGCATCTGATTTCTTGAAAATTGGCAACGTCTGTGATGAAAGTTGGCATCTCAATTCTTAAGAATTGGCATTTCTTCGTTCAAAATTGGCGTCTCAGCAATTTCCAATTCCCAAACTTCATTGCCAAGTACAACACCAAGATCTTAGCTAACTTGGCAACAGCCAACTGTCGAGGTTTTCGAAAAGCGGATTGCAGCTCTTGAGGGTGGACGAGGAGCGGTAGCATCTGCCTCTGGTCAAGCAGCTCAATTTAGTATGTCATCTTAATTGATTCTCTCTCTACCTTTACTCCTTCCTTCACCACATCACCCCTTTGATATCATGCTATAAGCGAATGCGTGCTAATAATCCACTAAAGTGGCCTTTGCCGCATTGGCCCATGCCGGAGACAATATCGTATCCACGACGAATCTGTATGGAGGAACATACAACCAATTGAAGGTTTTCCTTCCAAGATTGGGCATAAATACCAAATTCGTTCAAGGAGACAAGGCAGAGGACTTTGCGAAGGCTATAGACGAAAATACAAAAGCTGTATACATTGAGAGTATTGGAAATCCAAAATATAATGTTCCAGACTTTGAGGCTATTGCCAAAGTTGCACACGGTTAGTGCCCGTACTACCTCTTAATACGATTCTGGCTTCACTACTTGAAGCTTTTGCCTTCATTCCTGAGAAATATTAATTCCCTACTAGATGCCGGAGTTCCTCTCGTCGTTGATAACACATTTGGAGCAGGAGGATATTTCTGCCGCCCTATCGATCATGGAGCTGACATTGTCGTACACTCGGCCACTAAATGGATTGGCGGTAATTATGTGGTTCGCTGTCAGATATTGTGATTCCTTCTAACTTGGGTTTAAATAGGACACGGAACTACCATTGGTGGCGTAGTCATTGATGCAGGAAATTTTGACTGGGGAAAACACGGCAAACGATTCCCAGAAATGGTTGAACCATCCGATGGATATCATGGACTAAAGTTCTGGGAAACATTTGGACCTGATACTTTTATTACTCGTGTTAGAGTTGAGGTTCTCCGAGATTTGGGAAGTTCATTGAGTCCATTTGGAGCATTTCAATTGATCCAAGGTCTTGAAACTTTGAGCTTGAGAGGAGAGCGACATGCTCAGAACTCATTGGCGTTGGCAAAGTGGCTTGAGAAGAATCCACACGTTTCCTGGGTATCATATCCAGGATTGGAAAATCACCCATCCCATGAGCTAGCCAAGAAATACTTGCCTCGTGGTTTTGGTGGTGTCTTAAGTTTCGGGGTTAAAGGAGGAGGAGAAGCTGGTAGCCAGGTTGTTGATGGCTTCAAATTGATTTCTAATCTAGCCAATGTTGGAGATTTAAAAACTCTAGCCATTCATCCATGGTCTACAACTCACGAACAACTTTCTCACGACGAAAGATTGGCCTCTGGTGTCACCGAGGTAAGATTTCATTGAACATCTAATGGCGTGAATTTGACTGAATCCTGTTTTATAGGATCTTATCAGAATCTCGGTTGGCACAGAACATATTGATGATATCATTAAGGATTTCGAACAATCATTCGAAGCAGCTTCTGCAGCGAAGACAAGTGGTGGTAACGACTCAAATGCCGAGAAGACTGGTAATGTCAGTGGTGATGCTAAATTGGTTGTTTAAATGATTCCCCCCCCCTTTTTAAAGTATTCTTCAAACTTTCTCTGGCTAAGAAGATGTGAATGCGGTGGAATGTTTGATGATCAATCAATTTACAGAATACTGATAAAATACTATTTGCTACAAAGTAATAATACAAATAACTATTTCTTCAATTCAATCAACAACAAATCTTTACTGTGATACCGATAGATTGGTTAAAGTAGCAACTCGGATATAAATAAGCGTCTACCGAACACTACATTGCATCTGTACCTCGCTGACCACTTTTCTTCGTGGAGAATTTTTATGATTGTTGATTCACATCCACTCTCTACCAAATATTCTCCCCCTATCAGAACGGATATGTCGGTCATTTCCAATCCTTCACAAATTGTGATTGCGATTTACAAAGCTTCTCCACATTCTGGAACGATATTATGCCCCAGCGCTCAGATACCGAGGTAAAACGAAACGCGACCATCGAGGCTTCGGGCGAGGCCACTCTCCATTTCTTCACATGCACCCTTTGAGCATCTTGATCTATTTACAAACTTCACTCGCTGTTGGAATTAATTTGGCTTTGTTTATATTATAGATCTTCATTGCGATTCATATTCTACAAGTATTATAGATTAAATCTTTTATCATTCCTTTTGTACATTCCAAGGTTCGTAATCTCTCATCGCGAGCCGCTCACTGCCCAGCCTCCTAACCTTTGTTCGGCATCGAATAAGTACTGATTGATATTTACTTTTTTAGAGATCTAGTTAGACACCATGGCGCCGACAGTACAAGATCCCGATACATATGTGAAGACTATCCGAGTATCTCCTCCTCCCGGCTCACCCTACTCCCTTGCGATCCCGGGCAGTGCGCGCGAAGATCGCAGTGGTGTTTACAGGCATTATCAGTTCGTGGATAAGCCATTACTACAAACGATCGATCCAGAATGTTTGACCAGTCATGATTTCTTTGAGAAGGCTGTAAGAAAGAGACCAAATGCTAGATGTTTGGGTCACAGACCTTGGGATCCCGTTACGAAAACTTATGGTAACTATCAATGGATTACATATGCGGAGACGGCAGAGCGCAGAAAGAATTTTGGTGTGGGATTGGTAGAGCTTCATAAGAGGGCGGGAATCACAGATGATAAGTATGGTGTGGGTCTTTGGTGTCAAAATCGTCCGGAATGGCAAATTGTTGGTAAGAGATCTTGGAGCTATTGCTACGTGCATCGTGCATTGCAGGGTGGGGGCTGACATGAGTTGTAGATTTGGGAGCGATGTCTCAATCCCTCTTCACGGTTTCCATTTACGATACTCTCGGACCGGATACAACGGAATATATTGTCAACCATGCAACGCTCGCTTGTGTTTGTACGAGTTTACCACATATTCCGACGTTATTGAAGTTGGCACCGAGAATACCTACGTTGAAGCTCATCATTTGTCTTGACCGTTTGGATGAAGGAGAACAGCCTGGAAACACAAAGAAAGCACTTTTGAATGCTCTTGCGGCTGAAGTTGGAATCGCTATTCATTATATTGGAGATGTTGAAGCCATTGGAGCCGCGTCCCCAAATTCTCCAATGAACCCACCTCGACCAGAAGACATCATTACAATCAATTATACCTCCGGAACAACTGGTAACCCCAAAGGTGTGGTTCTTACTCAGGCGCACGCTGTTGCAGCAACTTCCATTTCGAGAATTGTGTCCGATCCATGGCCTAATGATGTCCTTTGTTCATACCTTCCATTGGCACACATTTACCAACGTCTTGCCGAGCATGGCTGTCTTGCTGTAGGATCAGCTATTGGTTATTTCCGTGGTGATATTCTTGGACTTGTCGACGACTTGAAGCTTCTTCGCCCAACAGCCTTTAACTCCGTTCCTCGTCTCTATAATCGATTTGGATCCGCTATCAAAGCCGCTACTATCGATGCCCCAGGTGTCAAGGGCACAATCGGTCGTCATATTATCAACACCAAGCTTGCATCGATGAAACTTCCACCCGGACAAGCTACCAATAAACACGCTCTCTACGATCGTATCTGGACTCCTAAATTAGCTAGTGCTTTTGGTCTTCAAAGAGCTCGTGGTCTGGTAACTGGAAGTGCTCCAATTGATCCTGGTCTTCATCAATTCCTCCGTGCAGCCTTTGGTGCCAGATTCATTCAAGGTTATGGCCTTACCGAAACCTATGCACATGGTCTTGTGCAATACGATGATGATTACACCACCGGTAATTGCGGAGGTGTCAGCCCATCTAGCAAGTTCCCTTCCAGTCCCTAAATCAAACTCAACTAACCTTTTTTCCCTCTCCACAGCGGAAGTATGCCTCGAATCCGTCCCCGACATGGAGTACCTCGCCACCGACACGCCCAACCCCCGAGGTGAAATCCTCCTCCGAGGTACCGCCCGTTTCCGCGAATACTACCGCAACGAAGCCGAAACCTCCAAAGCAATCGATGCAGACGGCTGGTTCCACACCGGTGACATCGGAGAAGTCGACAGCATGGGCCGCTTCAAAATCATCGATCGTAGAAAGAACGTCCTCAAACTCGCTCAGGGCGAGTACATCTCCCCCGAACGCATCGAAAACGTCTACCTCGCAAACTGCAATCTCCTCGCCCAAGCATATGTGCACGGAGACTCAACCCAAGCTTTCCTCGTCGCCGTCTTCGGAATCGATCCCGTGACGTTCGCGCCGTGGGCAAGCAAGATTCTCGGCAGAGAAATTAAGAGTGAGGATATCGCAGGCCTTAAAGAAGCGGGTAATGATAAGAGGGTGCGCATGCAACTTGTCAAGGTATTGGAAGGCGTGGGCAAGAAATCAAAGTTTAACAGCTATGAGAAGGTCAAGAATGTGTACTTGGACATCGAACCGTTTACCATTGATAATGAACTTTTGACACCGACGTAAGTTTTTTTTCTTCTTTCCTTACTCTTTTCTTACCCTTCTATCTTTCTTTCCTTCTTCCTTCCGGGGAATACGGATGAAAAACGAGAGTGCCACACAAACGATATATACTAACCTCCCACCCCCCAAAAATAGACTCAAACTCAAGCGTCCCCAAACGGCAAAGAAATTCAGAGATCACATTGACCAAATGTACGCCGAAGCATTGGCGGATGAGAAACCGTTGGCGAAGTTGTAGATTTTTGTTGTTGTTGTTGTTGTTGTTGTTGTTGTAGTAGACTGCGTTGTGCATGGTGCATGGTGCATGGTGCATTGATGCAATGATGTATTGATGGATGCTTTGCTTGGGTGCTTTTCTTATGAGCGAGCAAAGCGAGCATGTGTGTATGTGTGTATGTGTGCATGTGTGTATGTGTGTATGTATGCATACATATGTATGTATAGCGAGTATGGCGAATGGAATGGAATGGAATCAAATCAAATGGAGTCGAATGGAAAGAAAAGAAAAGAAAAGTACGCAAAGATGAGAAGTCCAGAATCAATCCTATCTATCTATCTATCTATCTATCTTTGCTGGGGTGTGAAGGAGGGAAGGAAGGAAGGAGGGAAGGAAGTGGGTGTATACAAGCAAGCACGCAAGCAGATAACCCTATCTGATCTTGATCTTGAGCAGGCGGAGCGGGGAAAGGAAGTGCGAAATTCCCTAGAAATTATCTTTTATTTACTTACATATATATGGATCCCCAGGAGTATTAATAGTTGAACTTTTTTTTTCGATATACCTTTTTCTCTCTGTTTCTTTTTTTGGCTCGTTTCATCGGTTGGATTGTGAGATCTTGAGATTTTGAAATTCCAATACAAATGTCAATGTGAAAAGCAAAGGGGAGGGAGAAGCTAGTGCTCCAATCTCTCCCTTCATACCATCAGGTCTGTTAAACGAGTCATAGATTCCAATGCCACTCATCTGTTCAATCCCTCAAGCCTCACTCACTCACTCGCTCATTATCACAGGCCCAAAATTCATACACAAGAAAATTTATTTGTAATTATTAAAGACTTTTAAGACTCTAGGATGACGCTATCATCATCTAAATAAAAAATGACTAAAAACGCTCAAATCTGCTTCAATTTTCTTGTGCCAAAAGTTAATCGTAATTGATCTTTCATTTAAGAAACAATGTACGAATTCTATTTCCCAGCAAGTAAGCAATTTGAACTCTTTAGCGCTAAAATAGCAAGCAGTTTTGATACCTATGAGCTCGTCTGAAGTTTTATACACACGAACTACCTAATTAATAACACAAGGGAATATTCGTAAGAGCTGCACATTCTGTAATTATGTGCGCCTGTAAATTATGAGGTTTAAGTTTTAAGCCGACTTTTCGTGTTGTGTGGAGACACGCTGAAGTGAGACGACTAAAGAAGTATAAGTTAGCGCTTTGTTCGTAAAATGACATAAGACTCGGGGTAATCCACTTACCAAAATCTTCCAGAGATCTTTGTTTTTGAGTCTTCTTTGGTGATTTACCATGCATAAGGTTATCAAAGCCAGAACTATCTTGAAGTAGATAGTAGACTCCACCCATGATACAGAAAACCCCAAAGGAGAAAACCCAAATACGAACAACGGCAACAATCGAAGTTTGACCTCCAACGAACCAACCGAACAAGGTGAAAAATGTTGCGATGATATCAACAACGAGAATAGCACCAGTTAATTGCCACGATGGAAGTGATGACCAGAAAGGACCATTGGCGCGTGTAATGAAAATCAACCAATTCTCAGTAAGAGAGATCTCAAGGAAGACAACCTCATCAAGAACACCAAAGTTTTGAACAATACCACCATCTTCACCTCGAGCGATCATGGTGGTGAGGGTAATCCAGGTACCGACGGCGAGAACAAATCCAAGGAGAACGGACATACCCCACAATTTTGGAAGGTTCCACTTAACCGGAGTTTTAGAGAATGGTGCATTATCATAAGCAATAGCAAGAGTTGCAACATCTGCAAAAATGGCGATGAAGACGACCAATTCAATGTTGAGAGATCTATTCAAGATGGCGATCCAGAGACCAAGGAAAATCTCAAGATGTATTGACAAAGCGATACGATAGACAACATAGGCGTACATGCGATGGAAAATTTGTCGAGAAGTCTTGAGAGCGTCAATGATAGCACCAAGTCCTGGAGCTAAGAACACGATATCAGCTGCTGAACGAGCGGCATCGGAAGCACCTTCTACAGCGATACCAGTATCGGCCTTTTTTAGTGATGGGGCATCGTTGACACCGTCTCCAGTCATAGCCACAAGATATCCACGCTGTTGAAGAATTTCCACAACATTGTATTTATGTTGAGGGAACACCTCAGCAAATCCATCAGCGGCTTCGACGAAATCATAGACCTCAGAACCAGGCATGTCTCCACCACCACCAAGACCAAGACGTTCAGCGTTATAAACGTTAGTGCCAAGTCCAAGCTGTCTTGAAGTTTCACGAGCGATGCCAACAGCATCACCAGTTAACATCTTGATGGAAAGTCCGAGAGTCTTGGCCTCATTAATGGTACGAGCGGTATCATGACGTGGTGGATCAGAGCAAGGCATAATACCCAAAATTTCCCATTGACCCTCACCACGCTTTCGCGCAACACCAAGAGAACGGAAACCACGAGTAGCAAATTCAGCAACCTTGTTCTTGTAGGCTTGGTCAATTTCTTCAGGAATTGGATGATCTTCCTCAACAGTCTTCAGGACGAAGAGTGGAGCTCCCTTGACACAAATAATCTTTTCTCCTTGAGGCGACTCGACAACAGCTTGAACTTTCTTGGAAACCGGATCGAAAGGATGAAACTCAAGAACTTTGTACTTGGACAAGACGGACTTGGCGCGTGGATAGTAACGAAGAGATTTCAAGAAAGCCTTGTCAATGGCATCAATACCCTTCTTCTTTCTAGAGGCCGCAAGACAAGCAGTCAACATAAGATCATCAGGTTCTACGCCTGGAACGGTAAATGGTTCGGCGAGAGAGAGCTTGTTTTTGGTCAATGTACCAGTCTTATCCGAGCAAAGAATCTCGACGCCTGCAAGTGACTCAATAGCGGACAATTTCTGAACGATAGCTTTCTTCTTGGCTAAATAGGCGGCGCCAACAGCCATGGTAGTAGTGACAACAGCTGGGAGACCGACAGGGACACCAATGATCGTGATGGCTAGAGTATATTCGAGGATAAGAACGATTGGGTTCGATCGATAGAATGATGAGATCCAGACAACCAAGTTGGTGAAAATAACCAGGATCAAAAGAACCGTACCAATACCGTTCAACACTTCAGTAAAATGACCAGTTCCTGCGGAAGCTTGATTGACCAAAGCTGCTGCACGTCCAACGAATGTATGATCTCCAGTGGCAGTAATGACCATGAAAGCTTCACCACGCTTGACACCAGAAGATGCATAACATGTATCACCCTTATGTTTATCAACGGCAAGAGACTCCCCAGTGATGGCAGATTGATCGACTTGAAGGAAAGCATCATCGGTAACGATACGACCATCGGCGGGAATAATGGTACCCTGTGAGAAGATATGAGTCTTTGTTTGGAGATTGGAGTACAAAGATTGAACTTACTTCTTCAATCTGAAGAATGTCACCAGGGACAACTTCAGGAGCTTCAATCTCATAGAGACGACCATCACGAAGAACAACAGCTTTCAAGGCAAGAGTCTTTTTCAGTTCATCGACAATGGAACCTGCTTGGTACTCTTGAACGAAACCGACGGTGGCATTGAGGAGGAGAAGTGCACAGATGACACCAAAGTCGACCCAATCTTGAAGACCCGCAGCAAGAACAGCAGCAGCCTATCGAAAAATCATTCAGTTAGTACCAGTCTTTTAGTATCATGGATGTGGAAGGATCGCGGAGCTATTCTATTCGGCCGTGTCGAATTGACGGCCACGACCTTTAACACTAGATGATCTGTGGAGAATCCATGTAGATCTCAATAGCGCGAAATAGTGGGGTGCGGAGGATTTAAGGATCATGGCAAGAACTTTGCATAAACGTACCTCCATCACGAATTGAATAGGACCGATAAAGTACCCAAGGAACTTGAGAAATAAATTTTCTTTCTCTTCCTTCATTTGATTCAAACCCCATTTCTTACGACGAGCTTGAACCTCGGAATCAGTAAGACCAATGCGAGTATCTGTTTGAAGTAAATCTTCGGGGACAGGACGTTCTTGAGCAGGACCATTTTCTTCTTCGGCCTCTTCATCTTCAGCATGACCATCTTGAGATTCGAGCTCATCGATCAATGCATCCATGTCCTCATCTTCTTCTTCCTCTTCCTCATGCTTGATGGCATCAGTAGAAGTGTGTTGAAGACCACCATTCTTCTCATCGAATTGACCGGGCTCAATGTTGGTTCTTAGGTGATTTGGAGGTGTGTCGGATGAGTGATTGCTCGATTCAGCACCTGTTGTTCCATGAATATGAAGATCATGTTGACCCGCCAAATGTGCCATGGCGACACCGGGTGGGAAATGAAAGTGGCAGATAAATCACTTTATTTGTTTGGTGTAAGTTTTGTTGTTGATGGTAATGAGTAAAGTAAGTAACAGATTCTATGAGGATAACCGACGCGACCTCGTCGAGTATGGAAAAGAAATCCGATGATTGGAATATCTTTGATGATTAAGGAATTGTTAAATTACTTTGTTAAAGAGGAAGAGGAATAAGAGGATGGGTAAGTTGATGTCGAGATGTTTGTGTAGTGGAGGAAAGAAAAAGGAGAAGAAGAATTGAGTCGGAAGAGGTAGAGGTAGAGGAGAGGGAAAACGTCAAGTTCGGATAGCAAGGTGAATTAAAATTAACGAATTGGTGGGAGGGATAGATTTTAATTCAGAAGGTCCGAATTGATTAATGAATTGATTAATAAATTTGTTGATTGTGGAAGTAACGACCAGCGAAAAGAGAGTGAAGGTTGAGGTGAGTGAAGTGGGTGAAAAGAGTGAAGAGTGAAGAGTGAAGAGTGAAGAGTGAAGAGTGAAGAGTGAAGAGTGAAGAGTGAAGAGTGAAGAGTGAAGATTGAAGATTGAAGATTGAAGTGACACCACTATTGCTCGATGGGCTGAGGGTTAACAAGATGATACAGTTCGCCAGTTCAGAGAGAGAAAGAGAGAGAGAGAGAGAGAGAGACAAAACTTCCACATGAAATATGAGATATGACGCTA